GCAACGTGTGACGTCATGTGCCCGAGCCCTATTATATGGGGGAAAAAAGCGTACTGTAATATGAAGAGCTACCCGTGCAATTTAACTGTTGTGTAAAGGAGCCTGATTGTTTTCAGAGAACATCAGTCAACAAACAGCACATCTGACTGAAGGGTGGGGATGTATAAATATGAGGACAATATGAGGAACAAAGGTGTTGCATTATAGCTATTGCAAACCACAGTATGAATGGCGATCAAGATTTATAAATAAAATTTTCACCTCTTTCTGATTTTAAGCATGTTTAAATTTCAATCCATAAGATTGTTTATAACCCTGTCAGTGACAGTTCATCCAACTGGCCAAATATATTTTATTAATAGCAATTATGCATATCTTTGTAAGTATTGTTACCTTTAGATATTACATCTGTGTCGTCTTTTTAAATTTCAGCATACTTTTATTGTGATAATATGCTGCACAGCTCTAGTTCTGTAAACAAAACCCCAAGATTCTAACGTCTTTTCAACCCATCATCCAAAAAAGACAAAAACATATGGAGATCCATCAAAATCAGCTTGTCTACAGCAGCTGCACTGGAGTGTTATGCATTTCACAAATTTGGTCTTTATGGATGAACGAAAAGCAGAAAGTTAAAAAGTTGTGTTTCTGGTTTGCTGAAATGCATGAAAAATAAAAGTAATTGACCAAGCAGGCCATTGTGTGGTGCAAAACATCACACGTCGAGCTGTACACACTTTTTTCAGCCATAAAGCACAGTGATGGCAGCGTCATGCTGTGGAGATGCTTCTTTTTAGCAGAGCATGAACCTGATCAGTTCTGAATGAATATGTGTTTAGATTAATGCAGAACAATCCTGGTAGAAAACTATGAAAAGATAAAAGACGAGGTATTTCCAATCAAACGATGACCTAAAACAAAGAATCAGGGTTAAATTGGATCAGATGTGCAATTATATTTTAGCTAAGAAAAAAAAACAGTCTTTTAGTTTTAATTCACACGAGTCTTTACCAACAGTTTGCCTTTTAAGACATTTTCCTCTCGTCTCCGCTTGCATTGTAGTCCGAACTCCTCCTCTTCGCTCCCCAATATCTGGTAGAGCCCCCAAACGGCGCCTCATCACACCCATCCCAGGTCAGTTCCTATACCTGCATATTTCTATCGTTTTCTTTAAACAGTGATTTCAAGTGTGATGCTCTCCAAGAAACAGTTTTAAATTTAATCAATTGCTTAATTTTTTTATAATGAACTCTTAAGAGGCCTTAAAGTCATTGTCTGGCTTTCAACTTCCTTTTTTTACCACCTTTGGGGAAAAATTAAGATTAATTTAAAAGTTGGGGTGTGATCTTTGCAATCTGTAAAGTTTTAAAACTTTCTCTCTCCAGATTATAGAGGAGGCTTTGAGCTGCACAGTGCGGAGGAGGTGGAAAAGGAGAGCCACCTGCTGGAGGAGCTGGAGAAGCTCAGCCTGACTGGCTCGCAGGGATCCAGGGGTAAACCAAGTACCACCAGTCCTTTCTCACATCTGCTGGACATTCCTGTGGATGGATATAAGCCTGAGCCAAGGGAGCCCAGATCCCAATCTGCAGGTCCCTTGCTCCCTAATTGGCTGCTCACCCACAGCAGTGACTCCCCTCCACCTCCCCTCCGTACAGACATCCATACTATTCGCTCCGTCCACTTTGATGAGTCTTCTCTGCGCTCCTCATCGGACAAGATGAAGACAATTCCTGAGAGGGGAAGGACTTTCTTCAGAAACATCCATTCACAGGGCAGGACTGAGAAAAATGCAGAAAGGAGTAAAAATGGACTATTCACTCTGCAGAGTGCAAACCGTAGGATTCGACCCTCGCTGTCGCAGGTGTTTGATACGAATCAGGACCAGCAGATCAACGGCCACCGGACTTCCTCAGATGACACCGATCAGGAGCATCAACTGAAAACTGTCAGCATCTCTAAAGCTAAACAGTCTTTAGGTAAATATTATCATTCTGTCTCCGTCAAAGCTTTCTGTTCGCCATGTTTTCCTTATAACAGCTTTAAGTCAGACCTGATTGGCGGTCATTCAAGACCAGAAATATCCTGTTCATAAACAATTTTCAGGCAGATGCTTCTGCAGACCTTTTATTTAATACATTTTATATTATGGAAAAATAGAAGCTTCACTTTGGACCTCAAGCAATGTTTTAATTGGGGCATAGAGCTTGGAAACCTGAGGTTCTGAGTTTGAGCCCCACTCCAACAGACTGACACTCTGGTTACATACCCTTACCAAAGGGATGGGTTAAATGCAGAGGTAAATTTCTCCAATATGAGATCAATAAAGTTCATTTATTATTATTTCATTTGGTGAAATAAACGTGATTGTAATTTATTGACATGCGCACACATTTTACAAAGTCCATATTGTGTCTGCATATATCTATGTCAGTGAAATTACCAACTTACTCCGAGATGTCTTCACATCAGTTGCTGTAAAAGTGCCTCACCTCAGCCACTAACTTCTGCAGGAATCAGCATTTCTGGAGGGATTGAGTCAAAGATTCAGCCGATGGTGAAGATCGAGAAGATCTTTCCTGGAGGAGCCGCCTCCATGTGTGACGCTCTCAAGGTAAATTAAGGGCAGCTTATGCTGGTTTTCCATCATTTAGGACATTATCCATCCTCTGTACTTTACAGTCATGTGTGTTGGTGCACTCAAAGCTGAATTTACTAAATGTTTTTTTCTCAAATCTTATGGCATTGCAAATGATAACTGTTTTTAGTTAGGATACCAATAAATCTACAGTAGCATTGATTAACGTCACAATTGTGAAAGTACAGCTTGGTCCTTCAAAAGATTCTAAGCTGCATTTTATCTGCTAAAGATGCCCAGATTTTTATTGTTAACTGTAAATTTATATGTCTTATTTCTTAAATTTACAGCCTCATACAAAATAAAAGACTAGATCAGGGGTCTGCAACCTTTACAATTCAAACAGCCTCATGTTTGACTGAGAAAAGGTCCTTTAGAGGCACAAATATTTTATAACTATAACAATTTATTTGTTTTTCAGCAGTTAACTTAAAAAACATAAAATTTTATAAAAATGAAGCATATATTTTAGATTTTAAGTAAAATAAAAATGGGAAAAATCTATTTAGAGTTTTTATAAGCTATAAGTAGCTTATAAAAACATTTACTGCATAAGCTAATGATAACAAAAATAGATTAGAAACATGTTTTGTTCTTTTAATGCTATTCCATTGTGAAAATTCAATAAAATACTCAAAGGTTTCTAAGACTGGTATTTGTTATTATACTACATTTGTTGCTCCTTTACATAATTTTAGGCCAATATTAAGAGCTGCAGGCTGCAGACCCTTGGACTAAATGATAAAAAAATTTTACTATAGGTTTAGTAAATTACATAAACTAAAAGCTTTATCTTAGGAACCTTTTTTCAATATTTTTATATGCATACTTACTGACCAATTAGGAAAACCTTATTCCTACTGGACTGGACCCTCTTTCAGATCAGAACTGCCTTTCAATGATTTTAGGCATCAATTCAGCTTTGCTTGCAATCAGAAGATGCTTAATGGTAAATTGCTTAAATCAGGCATCCCCAAAGTCGGTCCTCGAGGGCCCCTGTCCTGCAGGTTAGAGGTTTCTCTGCTTTAGCACAGCTGATTCTGATGATTGCAGTTCAGCAAAAGCCTGTTTATCAACTATCAATGTAAATCAGCTGTGCTGGAGCAGGGAAACCTCTAAAACCTGCAGGACAGCGGCCTTCAAGGACCGACTTTGGGGATGCCTGGCTTAAATGATGGTTAGTCAGTAGTAAAAATATCCCCCTCATCATTAGATCAGTCTTAACCCTTTATATCGCAAGTTACCGTTTTTGATCACTTGCATACCCCTTAGAAATGTAGCCCCCCATTTTTGTTATTTTTCTTAATATATTCGGGCAAGTTGGCATTTCTTATTACATTGACATCAATTTTTGCCATAAAAATATCCATATTTTTTTATGTGTCTAAAAATGAGTGAAAATGTCTTAAAATAAGTGCCTTTACCCTTAGTTTGAGCAGGTAAATAAGAAAATCTCCCAGTGTAAGGAGCATTTTTATCCATAAAATCTGATTATTTGATATTATGCACTTGAAATATGAGACTGCTTTTTTTCCCCTTAATTTAATTGTAAATATTCTTATTCCATTTTCAGTGTGTCTAACTTACCTGCTCGATTCAAGAAAAAATGCACTTATTTTAAGAAAAAATGACGTACTTGGATTTCATTTTTTTTGCAGTGCACTCTTTGCTTGAAAATTAGAAATGTTAAGTCTTTCACTGAGTGCCCTATAAAGGGTTAATAGTTGATATGAGGCAGGATGGATTCATGTAGGCACCATTTCCAATCTGTAATTGTCCATTTATGGAGATTCTGTAAACTGTTCACTCAATTTCCCGTTTTTAGTTGTGAAGTCAGCTAACTCTCCTCCAATGTCAGAATATGTATCTTTTCTGGATATTTCCTCTGACCCTTGTGCATAAACCACGGAGATGGTTGTGACTGGAAATCAACTTTCAAGGATATTTAAAAACACTTCAATTCTGGTGATCACTTTGAACTTTAAGGCTGAATTATCTTTAGATCAGTGTTTTTCAACCCTGGTCCTCAAGGCACACTGCCCTCCATGTTTTAGATGTTTCCCAGTTTCCACACACCTGTTATCAATTGATAGCAGATTATCAGGCTTTGCTAACCAGCAATCATCTGAATCAGGTGTGCTGAAGCTCAGAAACATCAAAAACATGCAGAGCAGGGTGCCTTGAGGACCAGAGTTGAAAAACACTCCTTTAGATGAATGCATTTGTTACCCTATGTGACTGACTGGTATAAAAAGTTGTTGCATGTAATGAAATATATGCATAGATCTGAAAACCGTTCACTTTGTTTCAGGCTGGATTTGAACTGGTGTCTGTGGACGGCGTTTCCCTTCAAGGAGTGACTCACCTGCACGCCGTCGACATCATTCGCAAAGCCTTCAGCAACAAGGCCAAAGACCCCATGGTGTTTGTGGTCAAGGTTCCCAAAAACCTTTTAAAAGACAAGCCTTAAGATTAAAAAAAACTGAGGGTTGGGTTGCCGCTGGGTTGGGAAACAAAGAACTTTAAAAAAACAAAGGTATTCGATGTTGAGAGGAAAAGAATCCCCAAAACTTGTTTGGGTTTGTTACAATTTGGACCTAAATTGATCTAAAGGATATTTTTTAAATATTTATAGTCAAAAACAAATGTGATTTCTGTTCAGTTTAAAGTAATTTAGGTGCCTTTTGTCTTTCACAACATGTCTTAGCCTTTTTGAACCCGCAGAGGGCAGATCTGAGCCATATAAACAACACTGAGAACAAGACATGCAGTAAATATGTTCTCAATGCAGAACCAGACCAGGCTGGTGACGGTTTTAAGTAAAAACTGTAAAAAAAATGCAGAAGCTCAATAAAAAAAGAATACAATATTAAAACCTGATTTCAAATATTGTTTTAATTAAACCGTACTGGTTTTGTTCAAGAAATGTACAGCATGAAAATATACATTTAATGTCTTCATACAAATATTGAAGGTTTATAAAAGTTATACTGAGGAACAAACAAATATTCACACAAAGTTTAAACCAAGCTTTGTAACTGTAGGAGGAAAATATATATGGACATTGCTTTGGTCTGTTCACAGTGGTTATATTTTCATTTATGGGAACAGGCAGACATTTATCAGTGCAGCAAGACTGCAGCATTGGTGCATTGGTGGGGTCTGTAACAGTGTTATTCAAAGTTAAAATCAATATCAATGCTGTAAAACAGCAATCAAGCTAACATCACTCAAGGGTTGAAATAATTTTAAGTTGGTAATTAATAGAAGAGAAAAGCTGGAGGCGTTTTTTAATGAAAGGTGTCAAAATTATTTACTGTAGGACAGATTTTATAATGTAATCCAGAACTTCAATATTAATTTGCTGTAATGGGAATAGTGTTGATTTTTTTTTCTAAAGAGGGGTTTTGTTGAACAGTTATAAGCAGCTAATCTCTTACCGTAACATCCTGAACCAGTTCTACAAAAAGTCAGGTTTTATTTGTAGATATCCTCTTTTTTAAGTTTGAATAAAACGTACCACATATTTTAGATGGAAAACATTTATCTTAGTCAGAGCTGCTATCAGCTTTTTTTCAGTCCCTAGCCAGTCTGAAATATGGCTGCTTTATCAAATTGTGTTTCACTGCAGTTTATTTTTTCCTCTTAATAGTTGTTGCTCTTTCCTAACCTGACTCCGCCAGATGGATTTGCTCCGCATATCCATCTGGAAACCTTCCGTTGAAGTAATTTTGGGAAGGGGCGAAAATACTGGTTAGCTGATTGGCCTATGTTGGTGATAGACGGGCCAAATAAACCAATCAGATCAACGAAGCATATGACGTAACAGAGCGACGACGAAGAGGAGCCAATTGATAGATCAAACTCTTGCCGAAACCAGTCGGGAGAAGAGCAAAAACATCTTTTCCTCTGAGAAAAGCCTCCAGAGCAATGTTTTGCTCTTCTTTCAGTGAAGAAATACTCTGTAATTCCGATAAAACTTGCTCGATAGCCACGCTAACGCTAGTTTCATCGGCTGAAGCCGCCATGTTCTTTAGAACTTTTAGAACTTCTGGTTGCGTCACACCTCAACCCGCCTCAAAGCCAACGCTGATTGGACGTTCGTTTGGTGAACGGCTCCAAATTTTCTTTAACGGAGAGTCTCCAGACTGATCTGCGAGCGAAACCTTGAAAGCTCGCGTGATCAGGATGGTCTCACGAGGCTAGCTCTTTCCTGCTGCCACATACATACATAGCTACAAGTCAGTGACTTGATGAGGGTAGCTGGGCTTTCTTAGAGCTCTTTATCAATTTGCATTAAATAAACAAACAATCTGGTTTCATTGAAGCCAGGTACAGGAAGTGGAGAGCTCCATAGCATGGTGTGGAAACAAAACAAGGAAGATGATTGTACATTTCAGAAGAAACAGGAATGGAATCCTATTAACATCATGAAAGAGGAAGTAGAGGAGTAAAAATACCTCTGTATTCAACCTGACAACAGACGTGGACTGGAAGTGGGGACAGAGCAGACTGAACTTCTGAACGAAGCTTAGATAATAGCTTTTTGCAACAGGATGTTGATTATCTTATATAAAGCTTGCTGCATACTCAATGATTTGTGAAGAAATTTGTTCTTGAGGTGCCTAGAACTATAAAAAAGGGAGTTTTTCCTGTGGACACTCATACGTCCCAAGAAGCATAGAGGATAAACGTCCCATCTGCTGTAGCTTATGTCAAAACAGAAGAAAACCGCAACACAATAGCAGCATTTTTAAGATCAATAAGCAATTATTCATATTACTAGACGTTTTCGCATAAATACAAATGTTCCTCTTTTCTCATCCCCTCTGACAGCCGATCCTCAAACTATCTATTACAGAACAGATAATTTCATGGATTTCAATATTTGGGAAAAAAGGGGGTCAACCTGAAAACGACAGGGTAGGAAAAAATAACCCTGCCTTTCCTACTTACTGTAGCACCCTTCGAATCTGACAAAACTCACAAAAGTTATCGAACACAATGCAAGAAAGAAGTTCTGCCCCGATGTGTCAAGAAAAAAGACAGGTCTGACATTTTCACTCCTGCAAGAACATTTGTTCTTGCAGGAGCAAGAACAAATGTCTGCTCTTGTGAAGTATCTAGCAGCCTTAAGTGTGGAGACTGATCTGTTCTGCCATCTAATGAGGCAGCATTAGAGAAAATAACTTGAAGAAGCTGCAAAAAATGATAAAGAAGGTCAGCTCTGTTCAGAAGATACTTCGAGCCTACAACTAATAAAGTCTTCAATAACTGGTCGGGAGAAAAAAAAGAATACCATAGAGCAGGGGTCTTCAACGTTTTCCAGGCAAAGGACCCCCAAACTGATGGCAAGATGGAGCGACGACCCCCTAATTTGCTCAAACTGATCCTATAGTCACTCTATTACATGCACAAGTAATTTCTCCCTGGGATTATTAAATTATTTCTGATTCTGATTCCTGGTTGATGGGACAGGTGTTGTGAATGAAACGGTGCCCAGCTTGAAAGAGCTCCTGTGTGTCGCTGAATGTTTGCATTCATTTATCTGTTTACTACAGAGTGTTGAATTCATGTTAATGTGGATTTAAAGACATTTCAATTACTGGAAAAAATTGCAGGGGGAATCTAAAAAAAAAAAGTAATCAACCAAAACGTTCGCAACCCCCATGCAGTACCTCTGTGGTCCCACTGGGGGCTGCGGACCTCTGCCCCAGAGTTTAATATCCCTTTGATATCCATTTTTTATTTAAAACTGAATTAGAATTTAAACTAAGCTAGATACAACAATTAAATCTCAGGTGTATTGGATTTAAATGGGGTTAATTTGCCAACAAAATAAACCAATTAATTAAAGTTTACCTTTCAGTGGCACACACTGGCTTTAGGAATGAAATTATCGAAAATGTAAGTCCAAATAAAGAAAATAAGATACTAACTGCTCATATCCATTGTACAGAACCCCAGTTTGAAAAATATCAACCAATAAAAAGTTTAATGAGGCAGAAAATCAGTCGTATTAAAAAAAACTCAATCAATTTCTTTATGAAAAGCAAAATATGGATTTATATAATAATTCCTACTCTGATTTTTTTTCAATTCAGAAGTCTGCCATCACCATTCAGAGCCTGACATTAAAAGCTGACTCTGATCGACTAACTTACCATGACACCATGTATGTGTGGTATTTACTGTAGCAGTGAAACTGTGGACAGAGTGGGAGTGCAACGATAAACCCAGCAGGGATGCTGTAGCCAGAACCAGGACGGGTGCAGAGTGGTGGTAAAGGTTAACTGAAGTTACTCACACAAACGCCTAAAGGTGTGAAAAATCACCAAGACCGACGACTCGTCAGTGCATCACTGCTACTGATGGAGGAGCTTAGAACCGATGTACTTAATGACATTTAAAGGTTAACAATTCTCAAGTGCGACAATCGTCACCCAGGAAGTGTGGAGACGCTCTTCTGGTGTTTACTCACATGAAGAACACAAGATATCACTTCTGGGGAAGGAAGTGAGTCAAATGTAGTGCAAATAAAAATAAAGGACATTTGTGAGAATCAGATTTCTGTTGCAGCAATCTCGTCAAAATTGATCTCGTTGCCGCTTCCCTCGTCCTCCTCTCTGCTCTCCAGCTCCAGACTGAGCTCCTGCAGCATCTGCTCCAGCTCTCTGTTCCTGCGATACATCTGCACGTAGTTTTCCTGGAGTTGCTTTTGGTAGCGGATTACTTTGTCCTTCTCCTCCTGCCATATCCGCCGCTCCTCCTCAAAACCTCCCGCTTGCTGTTCCACCTTCTTGCGTTCAAAAGCTAACTCCGATTTCAACCCGTCCATCTGTACCTTCATGTTCTGCAGAGCGTCAGCGCCGCTCTGTCGCTGGGCCTTTGCCTCGTCGCTTTCATAAGCCAGTAGATGCTCCTCGGCTTCCTGGAATATCTGACACTGTCTGTTTCCTGCCCCCTGGTTGGCCAAGGTGTCTCTGAGATGAGCCAGCTCCCCCTCCAGGCGTCCCACCTTTTCTCTGAGCAGTTCAGATTCGCTCTTTCGACGCTGAAGCTCGTTTTCACACACTTCCAGCTCCATGGTCCGCGTGCGGACCGTGCCGTGGGCCTCCTGGAGCAGCACCTGCGTGTTTGTGAGCTCGCCGCGGGTTTCTCTGAGCTGACCGCGCAGCGAGACGATCTCCCCCACACGCTGGGACAACTCACTCTGCACCTCCTTCAGCTGTTGCTTCAGCAGGGAGATCTCACCCGACTTCTGACATACCTGATACATGAAAACAGAGTGAAATGCAGCCTTTGGTGCAAAAACACATTTACCTGAGAAGTTTAGTCTTTCTTAAAAAGGTCAGGTTTAAAAACCAACAATCTAAAGTTTTCCTGATGATGGTGGGGTTAAAGGCTTCCACCACTTTGAGGAGAAATTATGAAAGCAGCTGCAAAAATTAACCTTTAACCTTTTCAAATTTAAAATCTTTTTATTTTTTAGTTGCAAAAATGTTTCAGTTTAAAAATGTATTTTTTTTTTATCAGTTGCAAACCTTTTATCCTTTTAAGTTTAAACTGTTTTTCTTTTAAACAAATCTTACAGCCTCTGTTTAGCTCCAAACTTCACCCCTTGTTGGCCTTCAGCTGTAGGGTTCTAATGGCTTTACAATTGCTTCAGCCTGGATTCTTTAAGTAGGGTTGGGTGACCTCAAACAGGCATTAATTGGAAGGCAACAGGACTTTCGCTCAATTTTCTGAGGACGTTTTGACACCTATCCAGGAGTCTTTGTCAGTCCATTTGGCTCAC